ATACATAAACTTGGTTTATGTGGGGTAGACATAAACTTCCAATGAGAAGTTGCCATTCCATTTCTACCAAAAAAAAGAGAGAAATTTAGGGGAGAAATTTATTTGGGTTTAGGCGCCTAAATGCTTGGTTGAGCGGGAGAAAAAGGTTAGGCGCCAAATTGCATTTAATGCATACTAATTCCAATATTGTGTTACTAAACAATTATATTATGATACTGATAAATAAAATTTGTTACTAGAGATAATAATATCCTAGTCAAAGTCATTTATGAAGAGAGAGATTTTTTTTTTTTAAAAAAAAATTGAATAATATATCATTTGATAATGTTTCTTAAACTACTAATAAAAAAATTATTATAAAAACACCAATGAATTTTTTTTTAATGATCTTTCTAAAGACATCCATATCGATATATTTTCAAAAATGTTAAATAGTTGGACAATTTTAAGCTTATTATATTTTTGTGTTGTAGCTTTAATTTTTTTTTTTTTATGCTTTTGATTCTAGTAAATATCGTTTTATTATAAAAAAAATAGATATAAATTTAAAATAAAGTAGCGGATTATAACAATAATGGTCCAGTGGTTATAATGAAATATCGGATTGATTGTTCGTTACAATAAAATATTGTAGTGATATAATAAAATACAATTAATTGATGTGGATTTATTCTCCTTTATGTTTAATGAAGCAATACAATCCAATAGTGGAGTGTTAAAATCTATACTGTAACATTTGTATTTCAAAAATTAATGCACTGTACTTTATTTCAAAAAATTTCCCTTATCTTTATTTAAACAAAAGTTTCTACGTGATAAGATTATTTTTAAACAGGGGATTTATAATAACTCATGATCAATTGTTATTTAAAAAAAATGAATTTATACATGCTACTTAATGTTAACATTAGATAATTGTAAATTATAAGATACTACAACTATTAATCTTGTAATATACAAATACTAAATTCTGATCAATTATTTTACAAAAAAAAATGATATTATGCTAAAATAAATATTTACAAAGTAAGAATTAACTTTTAAAATATAAAATTTTTGTTTCAACCACACAATAAATGACAAAACTTAAATTGGAAGGGTAAAATGAAATAGTGAAGGGTTAAAATCAAATAGTATGGGGTTAAAACAGATAACATTTGGAATACAAAAAGTAGTTATCGGTTACTAATAAATATAGAATTATGTGAACAAATTACAAGTTTCAAATTACATATTTATAGTATAAAACTTTTTTTTAACGATGTAAGAAGATCTATAACTAATCTTTGTTTTATTATTATCTTTTTTTTTTCTCATCGTGTAATAAAAAGATTATTAACTATGTTCAATAATAAATCATTCATCCATTGGTTTCGAATAAAAAAAAAAGATAATAACCCATTCATCCATTATTATTTACAATACTAATGTGATCTTATTCTTTAATAGATAGTCGATTACTCTAAGTAACAAATATTGATCAATTGTTATTTTTAAAAATGAAATGATGCACCTTTATAATAATAAAACTACTAAACCTTGATCATTTGTTTGAAAGTAAAATTATGCTCCTTAATATTAATAATAGATAATAATTGATTATTAAAAGACATAACAATTATAATATTATAATGTTACACTCAATCAATTGTTTTACCAAAAAGTGAGATTATGCAAAAAATAATCATTTACAAATTAGGTTATAATTATTGAAATACTTAATGTTTGCTTGCAACACCTAATACTAATGATAATAACACTTGAGTTGAGCTAAAAGAAAATAGTGAAGGGTAAAAATAAAAATGGTGGAGGGTTAAAATAAAATAAATTTAGAATACAAATAATAGTTATCGGTTACTAGTTTATCTTTTTTGTCAAAAAAAATTAAAAATGCAAAATAAGTAAAAGTTTTAAAACAATTTAGTTATTAAATTTACAAAAATTTCAAAACTTTGTTTACTTATTGTAAGGAAATTTTGTTATATAAAAAAAAAATGTAAGGAAATTTTCTAAACTTAAGATTTTAAAATACAAAATAAATTAAAGTTTTAAAACATACCAATAATCAAAGTCGCGTGATTTTCACCATATTAACATCTTGATACTTTATATTTGTATAGTATACACACCCATTATTTACAAACTATAATATAAGTTTTAAATACAATTTAGATAATAGTTGTTATTGTTATATAATTCTTGAATACTATTTAAATGAATGTTATTACTAAATAAGTTACAAACTTACAATCGTTACAACCCATATTTTTTTAAGACTAAGCCCATTTTTCCCCTTTATTTTAATCACAATTATTTTAATTATCATTTAATTGACTCCAAACATTACATGGATTGAAAAGTTTGATGCTTTGTTCTAGAAGTGAATATTAATTTCTTATTAATCTGTTACTGAAATAATTCAAGGAGTTTAATGTGTTACTATTGTGAATAATCCAATGTCCATCTTCTGATACTGATCAATAATCTAACTAGAAAATTTTTTATACTTTGATATTAAAATCTGGGAAAACTTAAGAACATTGGAAATAACAATATTTCCATTCACATTATACAATACAATTCCAGTGAAATGGGATGAAAACTTGTCTTCAAACCAATCTAACAATCTAAAAAATCAATAAAATGAAGCTTATATATGCATAATCTGAAAAACTAACAAATTACATTCTTTTTTTTTTTTGAGTTTTGATTATATAATTCATACAAATAAAAAAAAAATATTACAAAACATATTTGAAACAAGGATAAAGAACAAATAATAATTAAAAAAAAAAATTGTACAACGAAGAAACGTTGTACATTCATATCAACTTCTAAAAAAAACCAAATTTTTAAGTAAAAGATGAAAAACTATTTTTTATACAAAATAAAGAACATGAAGAAGAACATTTAAAGAGAGATAAAATCAGACCACAAAAATTTCAGCCAAAAAAATGAGACTAGAATTTTTCGCTAATTAAATAGATAAACCATGTTTGATTCATGAAACATTATATATAAAAAAAAATATAGAAAAAATCTCAAGGAAAAAAAATAATTTAAGAACATGAAAAAAAATAAAAAGGTGAGAAGAGAGAAAAAATCAGACCATAAAAATTTTCATCCAAAAAAAGTTAAGAGGGGAATTATTCATTAATTAGATACATAAACAAAGTTTGATTGAATTATAGAAAAAATTTGGAAAAAAAAATTAAAATAAATTCATGAACATGAAGAACTTTAGAATAGACTGAATAGAGAAAAACCAAACCCAAAAAATATCAGCTAGCAAAAAATGTTAGGAGAGAGAATGGGGTGGTTGGGAATTTGGGTACATTAATTGTGCCTTGAATATGAAAATCTGATTTGAAATTAAGTTTGAAATTTTATTTGAAATTTGAATGAAATGCTTTAAAATAGTTATTTTGGGCCCCAAAGTAAACACATATCACAAGCTGCCACATCATTAGTTTATACTTAGCCCTTTTTTCTTAACAGCTTGTTTGGATGGAAAGTAATGGAGGGGAGGGGAGGGAAGGGAAGGGGAGGGAAAGGAAGAAATTAGTTTTCCTCCATTTGGATAGGAAAAATGGGAGGTGAGGGAATTGTGAGGAAGAGAAATGGAAGGACATTATTTCCTTCCACAATTAAGAAACAAATCTTTCCAAATTAGAGAAGATTTGGAAGGAAAACTCTCTTCATTCAACACCTACTGTTTGACGCCTCCACCACAAGTCTTGTCATCTTCCGCCGCCATGTCCATCGCTATTCACCGCCATATTCAATCTTAAGAAATTTTGTTTTCTAAAATTGAATTTTAAATATTAAAATTTCAAATGTTGAGATACAAATTTCTGGTTATGATTTACAAATCGATTTTTTCATGAAATTTGGTTTTTGTTTTCATTAATCAAGTTTCAGACAATTGAGTTATGGTTTTTAAAAATCGATTTTCTGGAGAAAAAAAAAAGTTTAATATACAGAAATCAAATTTTCGAAAATGTGTTCTTCTTTTTCTAAAACCCCAGGAAATTTTGTTTTGATTTTCGTAAATCAATTTTCAGAAAATCAGTTTTCAGAAATTTTGGTTTTTTTTTTCGAAGAATCAATTTCTGAAAATTTCATTATGGAAAATCGTCAAGGACAATTTATATGTAATAATTTCTATTTCCAGAATTTTATCATTGAAATTTTGATAGTTGAATTATTGATTTTGGAAAATTGGGAATTTCAATTCATATTATGTCAAGAACAAGTAGATTCCCTCGCTCTCTCTTCCTTCATTTTCTCTGTTATCCAAATGAGGGATTTTGTTTTCTTCACCCCTCCCCTTCCTTCCAAAATTTCTATCCAAACAAGCTGTAAATGAATCATATGGTTGGGAAATTGAGTGCAAATTAATACTCCTATTTATACCTCTTTTTTTGAAAAATACATGAGAGAGATAAGTTTTTTTTAAAAAAAAAACCACTAAATTTAAATTAGGCATTTGAGAGTAGTTTGCTGGAAAAATTTAGTAGATTTTTGGGACAAATGTTGCTTGAGTTATTTTTAACCAAATTGTTGTTATGAACCATTTATTTTAGTACCAATTTTGTCAATTCGCCCATGAATCTGATTGAACAAATCACTTTCTATTTCTTTTTCTAGATTTGTAGATTATACAAGTATAACTCAGCATTATTGACCTAATAATTTGAGAGTATAATCTAACTGATGCAATAATAGTATGCACAATACTTGAACTCCTGAATCCTGAACTACTAATTAATGATGGAATTTGTTAAAGATCGAGTCGCTTCCATATATAGTGCAGAAGCCCGATAGGGTCCTTCTCCTTACCAACCAAAAAGAAAAATAAATAGTGCAGTGTTTAACTAGTTTTCAGAAATATGCAGCAGTCAGCAGAAATCTCTTAGCTGTTAATGGTCAGATTTCAAAGATTGGTTCTGGGGCTAATGTTAATGTTATGTCAGATTTATGGAATCTTTCTGGAAAGATTTAGCTTCAATATTCTGTTAAATATATACGTATGATTAGAAAGTTTCTGATTTGTTCGTTACTAAGCATGCTCGTTCGTATGTTCTACAGTAAAATCTCTGTGAGAACAACTCTTGAGGAGGTACTTTTATTGTTCCTTGTATCTCAGTATCTCACCAGGGCTGAACTCACAGGTTCCTAACCACAAGAACTTCATCGACATTCAATTCAACAAGTAAAATGTACAGTCCTTAACCTTGTATAGTTAACAACATAATATAAGAACGAAACCATACATCACATCGTTCACGTTTTCCATCAAATAGTTCAGCAAAAGAACTATACAGACGATTGCAGCCCAATTACACCTGCAAAATGGTTAAGCATGCAGCATGGTTATCAGTCTTTCACAAGGAGATGATGTGGAAGGGTCTCGCACTTAACAGATAAATTAATAACCTTAAGAGAAAATGTCAAATATGAACCAACTATGCCACATGGAATCAGCTAACAGAATCTTGCAAAGTTTGTGTTCCGGGGTTAGAATTCAGGCAATATCATCTTTAAAATTTTTAGCCTAAAATTCAAGAATTTAAGCAACCGTATCTATGTTAACCTAAGAGCTAAATTGGGATAATAAAGGCAGCAATAAAAGCAAGAAGGTTACAGCTTACAAATGCTGAACTTTCTATTTTGAATTTCTGGGTTTCAAGAAAGTGTTTTGAGATGTCCATATGTACCAACAGGAATTGGATGATCAGAAGGTAAGCTCTACAGAAATAAGGTAAAGACCTATCTTTTTCTTTATATCATTATTTCTAAATTTAATCAAGAACAAAAAATGAATAACTGCAAATGAAGATAATTACCACATCCTACTCTAGCACCAGCATTCCCTGTTGTTTTGCTGAGTTCATGTCCACCTGTTGTTCATCAATAAATATAATCAGAATAGACTAAGAGAGTGCAGCCAGACCAAACAAACCCCCAGAAGTATTTCTTAATGAAGAAAGGTATAAGGAGAAACCATGGCCCTCGAGTAATTGCTATTTGTTTGTCGACAGTAAGAAAAGATTTTTTTTTTTGCTATTCGATTCAAATGAAACAGGTCATCGGAGGTACAATGATCTCAGCGACATTCACCCAAATCATCCACAAATCAGGAAGATGTAGGACGTTGCATGTAATGATGCAATATCATTATTACAAATTCATTTAAGAAACTTAAAGAAAAAACACCAAAAGAAATTCTTCTCACATAAGATATCAAACATATGGTCTGGAAATTTCTCCCCTGCATAGACAAGTACTTATATAGTCTTTTTAATGAGGTTATACTACTAGCAATAGGCAGCATACAATCCATTGAAAGATTTTGTATCAAAAAATACAAAGGTAGAACTTATATCATATAGAGGTTATTTAGGATCAACAAGTCACTTATTGATTACCGACAATAATAGGTGGAAGTCAGACTACAAAGTAAACAGAGAACTCTGAGAACCCTTTAATTATGATGAAAAGGGTAACAGGATTGGAAAAATTCTTCATGTACAAGGTGATGCTTGGTTGAATCAACACAAGTTCTGTGTAGCCAAGATGTATAAAGAGTTGGTTAGCCTAGTTGGTTCGATTCTTAAAAACGGAGATATTAAAAATAGACAATAATTGGCTCACCTCCTTCCACCGCTGTGAGGCTGTCAGAGGGGTTCGATTCTCACCCCAAGCAAGTGGCATCCCTACTTCCCCCCTCCCCCCTACTTTTAAGGGAATTCTCCTTACCCAAAAAAAAAATAAGAAAAAAAAAAACTGTATAAAGAGTTGGTGGAGCTTGTCAGCCTAGCCAGAGACTACACTAGAGTATATTGGTTTGGGATCATATTAGTGCTCCTAAACACTAGTGCAGTAGTGCACAGTCTGGCTAGAGCACAAAAGATAGCAAACCAGACAAAAACTTCAGAAAACAGTAAGCATAATTCAGATAAATGTTCGAATTTTGATCAAGAGGTGGAATCACATCAGCATATGTTATTTGACTGTACTTACAATAGGCAATGCATACAGTGATACAGGGGATTAAGAATTTGGTTAGGTGTGCACACCAGGGACAAGGAACTTCCTATACCTCTTAGCTAGGTAGAGAGGAGAAACAAGAGCTCAAAGTTCAGAAAAAGGATCTTAGTGGCTGCTATTTTATCGGTGGTGCACAAGATTTGGATGGAAAGGAATAATGTTCTCTGGAAGAGAAGAATTATAATGTAAAGAAAAGAATGCAAAGACTCAGATTTTGATTGTTTTCAGTTTCTTAGATGTTGCTCCGGGATGGTTGTAATTCTGCTTGTTTTCGTAGTTTTGTGGTGTTTAAATGATTCTAAGCCTTAATATATCTAGCCTTGCGGCCGTTCAAAAAAAAAATTGTTCTAAGCCTTTTTCCACTCCTTATGGATATAATTAAAAAGTCAGCAACCAGTTTCATGTTTAGCTTAAACAAATCATTGCCTAGTCCAAGCTCAAAAAAATTTCAAACATCTTAAAAATACTCTGTATATATTGAAAATGGAACATCCACAAATGACATTAATTATTATGAAAAGATGAAAAAACCGAGAGCACAGCAAGAAGGAAATTCACAAATTCACAAATTGAAATTAGAAAAGGAGATGTAGATGTTAAGCAACATTCAACATGATTAAAAACTTTCTTGGCTCACCTCTTCCTAGATCATCTGGATCAGCATGCACCACAATAGCCCTCCCAAGAATTGAGTGTTGCCCACTAAGTGGTATCTAATTACCAAAAGTAACAAGATTATGAGAAAAATAGCTTGCTTTAACGATCCGATAATTTGTTCATTTTTTTTTACAGGAAATACTATGTGTTTTACAAGGCCAATAGGCCATAATCAATCAATTAACCAACTGGCTAGCTCTATAAAGCTAAAATTAAACATTCACCCATTAAATTACACCCTACTCATTCTATGTTAAGCCTTTGTGTTAGATAATCAAAATTTTGGGAAAATTAATGGTAACTATAACATAAGTACAACCATATCATTATTCATTACACTCAAATCAATCGGAAAATCTCACAAATTCAACTATTGTTAGAATTAAAAGCAATGGCATTTCTAATTATAAAATCTTACCTCGGAATCAATAATTGAAACCTCAGCAACCCCTAAAAACCCAAAGAATATAAGATCATGATATTATCAACCAAATAATTCAAAATTTTGCAAACTAACAACCAAAAACTACTTACCATCACTGTTTGCAACAATGTTTCCCAGGTCACCCGCATGTCTCTCTGAATCAAATGGAGCTCCATGATCCTTCTTCAACGGATTATAATGAGGCCCTTAAGAAAGAAAAACATTTCAAATTCAAAAAATTATGAGTTAAAGAAAAACAACTCTGAAAAAAAAAACACCCCATAAATTGATAAACTCCCTTGAAAAAAACAATCACATTAATTAATCAAATTAAAATAATAAAGATTGAAAAATATAAAAGCAACACCCAGAAATAAATTTTAATCAAGCTATCATACAAATAATATCAATTTAAAAAAAAAAAATAATAAAATCAGATAATACGATTTATCAAGCAAAATAAAAAAAACGTTAATCAAATCAAAAGAAATATAAAAATGAATTTAATCAAGATATCATAAAACACCCAAAAAGAATTTTTCTTTCAATCAAAGTAAGAGTATAGATATAAAAAGCAATGAAAATGGAGGATTAATAATTAGAATTACCAGTGGAGTTGCAACCATTAGTGGTATCACCAAGAGAATGAATATGGAAACCATGAAGACCAGGAGTGAGGCCTGTAATTCTTCCTTTAACATGAGTTACCCCTGCATTTTTTTTCACAAATTAAAATATTCAAGTGATCTATTTTTGGGTAAAAATGGAGGAGAGAGAAAATTCAGAAAGGTATGAACCATTGGAGTTTTGGATGAAGTGGAGAGAGCCGTTGATGGTGTTATTGGCGCCGGAGATGACTGCCACTCCTTTCACTGTGCTCATTCTAGTTGTCCTCCTTCTGGTTTAATTCACAAGAAATGGATAGAGACATAGAGTCAAGAGGAAATAATGAAATACTAAAATACTATATGCATCTTTTTTTCCTTGGGTTATTTAATAAAGTACTACCTCCGTTAATTGTTTTGTGCAACTTTTGTCATTTCAAGATGATCGGAATTATGTGCAATTTTTTGATTTCTTTCTATTTTTAGTAAAAAAAAGGTGAAAATTACAATATTGTCCTTACTTAAAAAATTTAACACACTAATTATTACCCTTATTATATCCTAAACTAAAACTATTCAGATTCTCCTAGTCTAATGATTTCCTCTTTTTATTTTCCCAATTCCCTCCCTCTCTCCTCATTTACTCATATTCCCAACACCAACAATTAATTTATGATGGTTGGTTCTCTCTATATTTTCTGGAGACTTCATAAGATAAACCTTTTGGGTATTTCTCTCTCCTCTTCAACTCTGATCTTCTCACTTCCTCCCTCCAGATCTCCTCTTCTGCTCTTCAATCGTTCATAAAAAAAAGTCCCCCTCAACAATGGTGAACTTAGATCCTTTAAAGGATGCGTATATGGCGACCGACAATGCTGGTGAGGAGAATCTCATCCTTAACCTAATCCATTGCTTTGAAGTGGGTTCTCCTTTCCCTCATCAATTTTACGAATCAAGTTAAACCGGTCCCTACTGTACTTTGTACACTTACAGAGCTTTGGGTCAAGTTCTGAAGAGTGTTGATGAGGAAGAACGAGTGAAGAGGGAGGAGGCTCAAGGTAAGTCCCGTAGGAAATCACTTGATTTCTCTGACTTTGCTGTAGATTTGTTGCTGAGAGTGCCTCGGGGAGTGTTGTGGCTCCCAAAAATCCTAGATCTAAGAGGGAAAGGCCACCCCCCCAAAGTTCATGCTACGAGGAAAGCGGCGTGTGTCGCTTTGAGGAGGATGTGTGGGCTTCCTGACCAAGAGCTCATCGTCTTGTCTTCTGATGATGAGGTTGCTGAGGACCCTCCTTCCACCAAGCCTGACTGTGCCTCTTCTTCTATCCCTGTGGTGAAGTGCTATGTGAGGCGGATGAACCTTGGGTTCAACCCTCTGAGTGACTGCACTCGTAACGATTCCTAACCCTAACTTGTTTAATTCATTTTTTTGAGTCCCTTTAATTTGATGTTTGTGCTTATATGTTGGTAATTTGATATGCTTATGATGGTTCTATTCCGGGCTTGATGGTTGATGCTTGAGTTTTTGTGCCTGTATGTTGTTTATTGGCTATGACTGGTTTATGTTGTTTATTGGCTTGCTGGTTGATGGTTGAGTTTATTTCCTGTGCTGGTTTATATGGAGTATGAGTATGTTGGATTTTGTGTGATTGTGTTACTGGATTTTGTTCGGTTGTTGCTTATGATTATGTTGTTTTTTGGGTGCTGAACTATGGTATTCTTCTATTGTTGATTGGATAATGCTCGACTATGCACTTGTTTTGGTAATTTGATTTGGATTATGTTGTTGGTTGGATTATGCACATCTTCCTGGATTGGTGGATTATGTTGTTGGTTGGATTATGCAATTGTTTTGGTAATTTGATTTGGCTTGAATTACTTATGGCTTGGCCGCTTGGGGAATTTGATTGGTGAATGATGATGAATGAATGATGGCATGTACACTCTCTCCACTGCTGTTGTGTGTTTACTGTGTTGTTCTCAATGATCATTTATGTAGAGAACATTGTTTATTCTTTAAAAAATTATAGTGTCTAAGAGTCCTTCATTGTTGCCTCTCTGTTACTCAGTATAGAGTCCCACATCTATTTGAGTATCTTGATTTATGTGCAATCTGTAAGGAGGGTGATCCCATCGTAAGGGGTACTCTCCTTAAATGCCCTTGGCCACTTAAAAGCCTAGGAATTTACACTTCTTAGGGTGTATTAGGATTTGAATTCCTGACTGTTTGGGGGACCTTGAATTAGAAATGATTATATCATACACGCTTTTTTGTAAGGAATAAGTAGGAGTCGCCAATGAGTTTTAGGAAAACCCATAAACCTCATTCATGCCTTTCTCCCAAGTAGATTTCAAGGGATATTTAGCATGAATCATAAGTTTACCCATGCCCAAATTGGTCTACCTAAACCATAAATGAGTTCGGGAGCGAGGGTACCAAGATAACGTTCCCTTTAGAGGGGAATCGCGATCCTAGCCCTAGTGCGGCCTCTACTAGCTCTTCCTTTGCACAATTTCATCACCAAACAATATATGCAACGTGATACCTAAAACTATGTTAATTGATTTTATTTACACACATTAATCATATAGGAATTACATTGCAAAAGTCGTTATTCTTATTTGATCAAATTCGTGAAAAGAACAAGAAGTAAACAATATTCGCCTTGTCTTAAGTGATAAAACAATCAACTAATTATTCAAATTCTAGTCTTGATTAACGAAAGAATACTATGTGAATTAATTAGTTAATTTTTTTTAAAAGTGATCAAACAACATTAATTAATCAATTAAAGTTGTTTAAACAATAAAAGAAAAGTGATTTATCTAAGTGCTCAGGAAACTAACCGTTCTTCTATGTATGCTTAGATTTCCGTCTTAGGTGTTTATGGACCTTCTTTTTTCTTTGTACCTCCAAGGTATTCAATGGATAAATTAGGGTTGAAGAGTAGTTGGGAAGAAAGAGGGAAAATTAGTATGATAGTAAGAGGGTTTGAGAGATTAGGGATTTCAGAAATTTAGGGTTTTTAATTCTGATTTTTCTCTCCTTAGAGCTGTGCGAAGACCCCTTTTTATAGGCGTAGAAATCTTAGTTTAGGGTTTTAGAGTCGCGCCGTCAGGTGTCGCGCGCAACTCTATGAAACGCTCTGGGGTTCCACGCGCATCTCAATGAGTCGCGCGCAACTTATTGAGTTGCACTGGTTTGCGGTTTGCCTTATACGAAAATGCGTTTTTAAAACTTCCATAACTTTTGATTGCAAAGTCGGATTTAGGCTTGTGAGATATCATTGGAAATATCTAGATGTCTACTTTCCAATTTCGTTAGAATTAAGTTTAAATCTGTTATGGATCAAAAGTTATGGCCGTTGGAGTGCAAGGGTGTCGGTTTTGGGCCCGGTTTAGTGTTTTGATCATAACTTCTTCGTTTTGGATCAGAATTGGGCTTATAATATACCGTTGGAAAGCTCTTTGAAAGTGCTATCCATTTTTATAGGCCTTGCACGGGAATTTTGTGGTTGGTTTATCTGTTTGGCTCGGTTTTCAACAATGTAGGTTCCATTGGATCCAATCAATGCATTTGACGCATTTGGGTCCGTTATTATTCAAGTTTAAACATGTATGAACACGTTTTAGGCCTAATTAGTAATTGGACAAGGCTCTAAGATAACTTGGTCTCAAATATGGGTTTTAACTTACTTCATAATTGTAGACACCCATTTGTGTCTCCCCAAAACCAAACCCAGTGATGAATACCTTTCATGTCATTTGATTATCGAACAAAGAAAAAGTGTGAAAAGTCTAGTGATGAGGATGATTTTATTAAAATATCTATTCTTTATATTTTTGAAAATATTTCTTTTTTTACCCTATTTTTGAAAAACGTGCATTCCAGTTTAGTTTGGTCCATGATATGGGTCCAATAATGGTTTAGTTGGATGTGTCTTGAAAATACCTTTCCAATGATATATTATAAGCTCAATTCCGATGAATAATGAGGAAATTATGGCCAAAATACTAAACTGGGCCCAAACTGGATTTTACCTACGACCCAATGATCATATGGAGGGTCCAAAGGTTTAATCCTATTCCTAAACTAGTAGGATTAATTAGAAGCTTCTATAAGTTTTTAAAAGATTTTAATTATCCTTTTTGAAAAGATAAGATTAAAGAATTTGAGTTAAATAAAACTTTCCTTTTTTAAAACTTTCCTTTTTTTTAAATCCTAATTCTATTCGAATTTAAAGATGTTCAAAGACGGTCAGATTTTATTTTCGTACCTCATAATTTATCCAAATTTTATATGGTTGGATAGATCTTAAAATTATCTTTCCAATGATATATTATAATATTAAATCCGAGGTATAACGAAAAAGATATGAAACTCTATCCAAAACTGACACCGTTCAACTATTTCGGACATATCTTTTTATCTACATAATATTTTAATCTGATTCTAATTGGGTTGGAAATTAGACTTCAAGAGCTTTCCAACGACATATTATATGCCTTATTTGGACTTTTCGATCAAAAGATATGATAAAAACAAAAACGCGTGAAACTGATTATTAGCGCCTGACGACAAGAATTAGCGCCTGGCGCTAAGGCTTGGCGCCTGGCGCTAACCTTCAGTGCCTGGCGCTAATGTCCAACGTCTGGCGCTAATCGTGTTTTATTCTCGTTGAAACTCTGATTCATTTTTTTTATCCATCTGACTAATTTTCTCTATAAATAGCCTCTTAAAATTCTGTTTTCAAAAATTAATTTTCATCAATTCTCATAAACTCTAATCAACTCTCATCAAGAATTTCTTGATTCTCTCTCTCTTTCTAGCCTATCCTTTTACAAACACAATTCCTCATACATTTAGCACTAGACACACCTAGCCAAATTCGAATTTGTCTTCGCCCTAGACGTGAAAGGTTTTAATTTCTGAGGGTTTGGTCCCAAATCTCTATTCCAATTATTTAATTTAATTCGTTGATTATTATTTTCCTTGAAGTTACTAACGCGTGTATTTTGTTATTAGAAAGAGGTACGAGACATCCAAGTAAGTGCTTTAATTGGTTTCATTGTTATTATGATATAGAAATCATGTCTAGGTTCTTATTATGATTCCTGATGTCATGTTAGGGCGTTTTGATCTTCTTAGTATCATGTTTAGGGTAACTTTAATATCAAATATGACAATTGTGATTCCTGCGATGCTTCCTATTTTCTTTCCTAATATTCATGTTAGTATCATGTTAGGGTTAAAGCTTTGATTTTTATTGCTTAGTGACATGCTAGGTTTTGTTATTAATCTTATTAGTATCATGACTAGGATCTTGCTATTGCTATTATGCTTTAACATGA